AGCTACTAGAACATTGTGACAAAATTATGGAGGCATTGGAAGAAATAAAATGCAAATATTACGTCCATCGCCTTCGAGAAGGCATTTAACAAATGCGATTGTGGAATGATAGCTCATAAAAACTCAATAAGTATATTAGGAAGAGTAAAAACATAGATAATTAGTTTTGACGAACGGAACTCAAAAAGTAGTGTTCAATACTCCAAGGCGCGGTGCTGGCGTCCTTACTGTTTCTCATCCTCACAGTATTGTTCAACACGCTCACCACAGCTTCGTGTCATCATTTACAGACAATACGAAAATAATCATGAAAATCACAACGGTAGAAGACGTAAAAAACAGAGATGAAAATGCCTTTAATGAGGCATGAGAGAATAACGTGATGGTCACTGGTGACAACTTCCAGCTGCCGGGATATGGAAAGAATTAAAATTGAATGGAGGAGAGCAATGTATACAAAATACTGGAGGACTATTTCAGAGAACAAAAAATATATTGAAAACTTCAGCATAATTTCAAATGACCCATCACTGAAAGAATACAACAATGTAAATGTTACAAAAGAAAGAAAAATGAATAACGAGAACTCTCAAAACAAGATAAATATTGCCACCGGCGACACTTTTCAAATTACTTTCGCTCTCATGAAAAGAAAAAGCAAGAGACAGACTTACACCGAAAAAGACAGAAAACATTTACAGTCCGTATAGAACAAATTTCAGTTCTTTTGAACAACTCAGAGAACTAGGAATGTACTCTGGAACGGTGGAGACATACATGAAAATATAAGCATAGAAGATACTTAAGCTCCAGGGTCCAAATCTACACATTACTTTAATAACATACAGAAGTAAGATGTAATAGAGGAAGCCTAAAACAGACCCAGTGGAAACCAGAGGGCACCATGTTAAAATACATGGTCTGAAAGCATTCAGTCTGATACCAGGAAATATCAGAAACAGTGCCGGAAAATTGGATCACTACTTCTGAGTGCCAAATCAACTAGGTTGTGATGGATGTGAGGGCCGGCGGGCTGCCACAGCAGACTACTACTGCCACTATTATTACTGTCACTACTACTATACTGCTACTACTATTACTGTCACCACTATTACTGCCACTACTACTACTGCTATCACTACTATTACTGCCACCACTGCCAATGCCACTGCCACTGCCACTGCCACTGCCACTGCCACTACAACTACTGCCGCTACTACTACTGCTATCACTACCATTACTGCTACCACTGCTACTGCCACTACTACTACTGCCACTACTATTATTGCTACCACTACTACTGCCATCACTGACTACTGCACCACTACTACTGCCACCACTACTACTGCCACCAACTGCACACTACTACTGCCACCACTCACTACTATTATGCCATTAATACTACTACTGCCACACACTATACCACACTACTGCCACCACTACTACTACTGCCACCACTACTACTGCCACACTACTACTGCCATCACTACTACTACTGCCACCACTACTACTACTGCCACACTACTACTGCCATCACACTACTACTGCCATCACTACTGCTACTGCCACCACATACTACTGCCCACTCACACATACTACTGCCACACTACTACTGCCAACACTACTACTACTGCCATCACTGCACTACTACTACGCCACACTACTACTACTGCCACCACTACTACTGCCATCACTGCTACTACCGCCATCACTACTACTACTGCCATCACCTACTGCCTACCACCACTCCTACGCCATCACACCCTCCACTACTACTACAGCCATCACACTACTACTGCCATCACTACTAGCTACTGAATCACTACTACAACTGCCACACTACCTACTGCCATCACTCACTACCACCACTACTACTACTACTACTACCATCACCACTACTACTGCCATCCTACTACACATACTACTATGTCATCACTACTATGTCATCAACTATATGTCCATCACTACTCTACTGCCATCACCACTACTACTGCTCACTACTACTGCCATCACTACTACTATCATCAATCACTACTACTACCATCACAACTGCTACTGCCATCTACTACTACTACCATCACAACTGCTACTGCCATCACTACTACTGTCATCACTTCTACTGCATCACTATTACTACTGTCATCACTACTCCTGCCACCACTACTACTATCACCACTACTACTGCCACCACTACTACTACCACCACTACTACTTGCACCACTACTACTGCCACCACTACTACTGCCACCACTACTACCGCCACCACTACTTCTGCCATCACTACTACTGCCACTACTACTATTGCCACCATTGCTACTGCTACCACTATTACTCCAACCCTATTACTGTCACTATTACTACTGCCACCATTACTACTTGTTACCTTTACTGCTGCCACCACTACTACTGCCACCAAAACTACTGCCATCACTACTACTGCCACTGCTACTACTGCCACCACTACTACTGCCACCACTACTATTGCCACCAGCTACTACTGCCATCACTACTACTACTGCCACCACTACTACTGTCATCACTACTAATGCCATCAGTATTACTGCCATCGCTACTACTGCCATCACTTCTACTGTCATCACTACTACTGCCATCACTTCTATTGTCATCACTACGACTGTCATCAGTACTAGTGCCATCACTATTACAGCCATCACTACTAATGCCATCACTACTTCTGTCATCACTACTACTACCATCACAACTGCTACTGCCATCACTACTACTGGCATCACTACTAATGCCAACACTACTACTGTCATCACTACTACTGCCACTACTACTATTGCCACCATTACTACTGCTACCACTACTACCCCAATACTATTACTACTGCCACCATTACTATTGCTACCATTACTGCTGCCACCACTACTACTGCCACTAAAACTACTGCCATCACTACTACTGCTACTACTACTATTGCCACCATTACTACTGCTACCACTACTGCTGGCATCACTACTACTGCCACTATAACTACTGCCACCACTGCTACTGCCACTACTACTACTGCCACCACTACACTGCACCACTACTACTACTGCCACCACTATACTGCCACAACTAGTACTACCACTACTCCTGCCACTGCCACTACTACTACTGTCACTTCTAGCTACTACTACTACTACTACTGCCACCACTTTTACTACAGTCACTACTTCTGCTGCTACAAGAGAGGACGTAAATATTAGAAGTGATCGGATTTATGTATTCAAACACAAAGGTTATCAACTGTTGATATCAGAATGTTGTCGGTACCACCATCATGAACCTTAACAAGACTAAGGTACCAAACACCTCCAAGACTGAGGAGACTGACTGTTTCATCTCTTACTGACAAACCCACTGGTGGGCGAAACGTCTTCGTAAGAATGATACCCAGGTGTTGCAGGTGTTTAATTTATGACAAGCGCGAGGAGGATGTTGGAGAGGCCACTGTGAACGTCGTGTGTGTGTGGGGGGTGGATATATCACGAGGGGGGTAGTTCTGACACGATTTAAGAATACCATAATATTTAGAAAAAATATTTGCAAAATCATATGTCACAATAGAATGGTTAAAATAATACTATAATATTAATGCCATTAGTAAGAAAACACACTAATACCATCACCAGTAATAATAATAATAATAATAATAATAATAATAATAATAATAATGATAATATTATTATTATTATTATTATTATTATTATTATTATTATTATTATTATTATTATTATTATTATTATTATAAATCGTTATTTTTATTAAACAAAACTATGTACTTAACAATCTAGAATCTACGTAAAATGCGCTTAACATATAATAAGTTTATGTTTGTGTGTGTGTGTGTGTGTGTGTGTGTGTGTGTGTGTGTGTGTGTGGTGTGTGTGTGTGTGTGTGTTGTGTGTGTGTGTGTGTGTGTGTGTGTGTGTGTGTGTGTGTGTGTGTGTGTGTGTGTGGTGTGTGTGTGTGTGTGTGTGTGTGTGTGTGTGTGTGTGTTTCATTCATATACAGACATGCACACACTCGTTATCTCAAAACAGTCACGTACTGTACACACGTACATGAGTGGGGAGGTGTTTGGTGTGTATTTAGAAATTCATGGAAGTGTTTACTTGTGTGTATCTTGGTACAGATGTGTGTTTACCTGGATGTACGTGTACGAATACTCCCCTAGTTGTCGTTACAAGGGTCGAGTCACAGCTTGTGTGTGTGTGTGTGTGTGTGTGTGTGTGTGTGTGTGTGTGTGTGTGTGTGTGTGTGTGTGTGTGTGTGTGTGTGTGTGTGTGTTTCATTCATATACAGACATGCACACACTCGTTATCTCAAAACAGTCACGTACTGTACACACGTACATGAGTGGGGAGGTGTTTGGTGTGTATTTAGAAATTCATGGAAGTGTTTACTTGTGTGTATCTTGTAAGATGTGTGTTTACCTGGATGTACGTGTACAGAACACTCCCCAGTTGTCGTACACAGGGTCAGTCACAGTTGTGTGTGTTTGGTGTGTAGTTTGTGTATGTGTGTTGTGTGTGTGTGTTGTGTGTGGTGATGTGTGTTTTGTGGTGTGTGTCGATGTCTGTTGTCGTGTCTGGGTGAGTGTTGTGTGTGTGTGTGTGTGTGTGTGTGTGTGTGTGTGTGTGTGTGTGTGTGTGTGTGTGTGTCTGTCTGTGTCTGTCTGTGTCTGTGTCTGTGTGTGTGTGTGTGTGTGTCTGTGCGGTGTGTGTGTGTGTGTGTGTGTGTGTGTGTGTGTGTGTGTGTGTGTGTGTGTGTGTGTGTGTGTGTGTGTGTGTGTGTGTGTGTAGCCTGGGGCTGGCAGGGAGTGGGGCTGGTGGGTTGTGTTAGTGGGGGTGCTGGTCGCTGGTGGTTGGGGGTTGGAGGGTTGGTGGAAGGCGTGAGGGCGGGGCCTGTGCGTGAGTGTGTACGTGTGTGCGGGTGTGTGTGTGTGGTGGGCGGAGCCTGCCCCACACGCACACACTCACACGCACTCGCCGCTGCCTCGCACACAGTCTACCGACGGACACTGCGCTTGTCGCACCCTCCCCGAGCCTACACTCCAACGAGGCCTCGCTTAAAAACCACGTGCTGGCCCCTAACTAACTGATAGCAGACCCCCGGTATCTCACACCTGGTCCCGGTACCTCACACCTGCTGCTCTCTCACACCCTGTGGTGCTTACACCAGTGACTTGTGTATAAGATTTTTTTTAAGTGGGTGATCTAGTGGCGGCGACGCCGTAGAAGACTGTCTACTGTAGGATATCCCAGCGAGGCCCTCGGCCACTCCTCCAGCAGATCACCAGTCACAGGTAAGCCGTAAGAGACACAAGTGTGCCAGCCATTGTTGTTTTAGAGTGACATAATGTTGCATAAAACGGAAAACAAAGAAAGGGGGGACGATGAAAACCGGTTTGCAACAGCCTGCAACCTACGGCTTGGTTATCTGGTGGATATAGGGGCGGGGGGAGGGGCTAGTATGTCCATAGAGGCACTGGTAGACCTATAGAGGCACTGGCAAGCCCACAAGGTGCCAGGGAGATGCCAGGAGTAACGAGAGTGTGGGCTACCAACGCTGTGTAGAATGGCAGCGGTGGGTCGGGCCTCGCTGGACCGCCCACACTACACAACATGGCCGCTTAGTGTGCTGACCTCTACACCTGCATACAGTGTTTAAGCTACACTCCACAACGAATATATGCCCGGTAAAGTATATCCGAGCTCAGTAACGTGTGAAGAAGGTGTTCTTTCCTGCCCCTTTTGACCTGTCGGATAAACAGAGGAGCCATTTGTTCTCTACAGTATAATCCCTCTCGTCTAGAAAGATGCTGGCATCTACAGGTGCGAAAAAAAAGTAACGTTCGTTAACGACGATGCGCTTGGTTTTCCGACGTTCACCGGCATGAGCGTCGCCGTGATTACAACGAAACTAACGTACTCGTTGGTCTAGCATATACGTCTTTCCTGTAATGAATAAGCCACGTATGTAACACCTGAGTATTTTTAATGTTATAGACGTTTCGCCAGCCAGTGTTTTTTTTGTTGTTGTTGTTTTTTTCAATTCAATACAGAGAATCATTACTGGAGGCAGTGGACCAATTGGCGAAGTAATTTGAGGTGATCAGAACCTGAGCTGTCATAGGAGGTTCTCCGTCCCTGAGCTTTCGTAGGTTCTCCGTTGCCCAGCGTTGATAGGTGCTCCTGTCCCTCAGCCTTGATAGGTTCTTCGTCCCTAAACTTCCATAGAGGTTCTCCGTCCCCCCCAGTCTTGACAGGAGGTGCTCCGTCCCCCAGCCATGATACTGATAATCTGTCGAATTTACTTTAACGTTAAATTATGTACAAAACAAAGTTTTCGAGTCCGTAAAACTTTGGAAAACACGGCAACGGTCCCTTCCGTACGTTCAGTTTCGTCCAGATCCTCGCGTTCGTCCTTGGGAAGACAGGTTGAATATTTTAGTATCTAGCTAATCCTTTGTTTACATTTTTTATGTGCATGGAAAAGTTTGAAGCAAATACTTTGTCGACTTAGCATAATAAGTTAAGACTTCCATGAGTGAGAACAATTGTTTTTAAGCTGATTTGCTGAGCATCAGGCTCTGCCAGACTTGCTTTGTCTATACACGCTGAGAATACAAACGTCTCATTGGGTACAGAGGGTTGCGGCCTCTTACTCAGTATTTCTGTGAACTTCCGCGTGTTTAGGTGGAGCGGTTATAACCCTTTAAGCTGTACTTCTGTGACCTTTCGCGTGTTTAGGTAGAGTGGTTACAGCCCCTTAAGCTGTACTTATATGACCTCCAGCATGTTTAGGTAGATCGGTTACAGCTTCTCATTCTGTACTCTTTCTTGAAATTATCGGCACACAAACAATACACAAATAACCCGCACTATGTGCGGGTTATTTGTGTATTGTTCCAGTCAATGTATTGTACCTTTTTGTTATCAACACACGTACACGCAGCACTGCAGCAGGCCTACTGGTCCATTGATAAATTAGACATGTGCAACTCTTGGGTATCTTTGTTGAGGATACCCAAGAGTTGCACATGTGTCTAATTTATCAACATGTCGGTTCTCTGAACCATCCATCTACTACTGGTCCATGCTAAGCATGTCCAACTTATCCATATCCTGTCATAAACCTGTCCAACCTATTTTAACAACGTTTCGAAGTTCTCGTCACATTGACGTTACTTGAGAGACTAAGGCGTGAAACAAAAGCTTGAACTAAAGGCGTGACGTCTCGCGAAACGTTTCGATTCTGTCAGTTTGTTCATCGGCATTTTTTTTATTTTCATTCCCAGTATTTTTTAATAAATTATTATTATTATTATTATTTTATTATTATTATTATTATTATTATTATTATTATTATTATTGTTATTATTATAGATGCGTCTCTTATCGCTCCAACTTCTACTGGAATGCGGTTAATTGTCCGCCACTTACTGCTTAACTTGCGGCATTACCCGCGACTTTTCTCCTAACTTACGGTATTATCCGCCACCTTTCGTTTAATTTGCGGCATTATCCACGACTTTTCACCCAATATGCGGCATTCTCCAAAACTTTCGCATAATTTGCGATATTATCCGCGACTTTTCGCTTTACTTGCGGCACTGGCTGCGACATATTTTTTAACTCAACATTGCCTGCGGCTTTTCGTCTACATTGCTTTAACTCTAGCGACTTTTTGCCCGAATTGCTTCACCGTCGGCGACGTCTCGCCTAAATTGCAGCGCTGCCAGTGACACTAATTTATTCGGACATGACCGCCGCAGCTGTCTTATCCTATGGATATGGCCGCCGAGACATTGACTCAGAATGCGGGCATGGCTGCCGCAACTCTGGCTTAGCCTGCGGTCATAGGCGTCGCAACTCTAAACCTGCAGTCATAGCCGCAACTTTGGTTTAACTTGCGGTCATAGCCGTGACTTCACAGTTGCTTTGGATACTAAAAACCTCAGCAAAGATCTTTTAAAACCCGCCAATACCAGTAATATTTAAGTCACATTTCCGAGGGTTCTCATGACCTGGTTTTGGTCCCATTCTGTTTGCCTAGCAGTTCAAGGCCTATGAAGGAGGCCTAAGGCTTTTTTTTGGGGGGGGGATATAGGTTGGCGTGCCTGAACACAGGCTAGCGTGATGTTCACTGGACCCGCTTAATAATGGCTAGTAGGCTCAATGCTTTTTATTTACGTTCACCAAACGTTCATCAATATCTGAAGAATGGCTTAGAGGCGCTTAAACACTGGTACGTTTCGCTGATGAAGGAGCGAAACGTATTGCTATTTTATTCAATAATTCATTACGAAAATCGGGCGACATTTCTGTTCATCTTTGAGTAAAGTCTAATTCGTCTTTCTCATTTGCGACTTTTCTCCAGGACGGACAGAAACGTCTTGTAATAATGTTTGTAGAATTACCGACAATATTAAGCCGTAACGGCTTAACAAAGCTCCTGGAGAGTGAAACGTTGCCACTTGTGTCATTTTGCCTAACAGAAACGTCTTAGTTTTTCACTTCCAGTAGTTGGAATTATTTTGTTTTAATATGTTTCATCCACGATATTGTTATTTACTGTTCACGTGAGTTCAGTATCACAGTGTTGTTGGAGTCTAACATAACTCTCAGACTACGTCGTTTCTACAAGACTGTATTGGAGCAATTCACAAATAATTCAAACTTTGGAGAGTGGAAATTTAGACGACGTTTCGGCCAGCCCTGGACCTCAGAATGTCAAGGATAGACCGAAACGCAGTTTAAGTTTTTCTCTTCAAAGTGTGGTTTAGTTTTGAATTGTTCCATCTATTGTACAGAGAGACTTACAATTTGTGAATTGTTCCAGCCTCTCTATAGCGAGACTCGTGCAATTTTTCTCTTGCGCGAGGCTGCAACTGGCAGATCCCACGTCAAATACATGATAAAAACGGGCAAACAATCTAGTTACTTCTGGGAGAGGACACGGGAGCAGGACGCCCACCTGGGAGACACGGGAGCAGGACGCCTACCTGGGAGCGTCGAGTCCGGAGTAGAAATCTTTGTGACAGACAACCAAGCCAGGAGAGCGAAATTTGGACTTACAGCGAGAACCTGGCAGATTCAGAGGGAAGGACTGGACTTAGCTTCAAAACGAAAGAAATAAGAGGACTTCCAATCGATGTATGACAAATTTGTACTGACAACGAGGCACAGAAAATTCCGAATCAAGAGAAAGATAGATTTTTTCTGAAAATGTTAACGAGAAGACTGAAAAGACAGACAAAGAGAGGAATATCTTGGGCAGGAAATAAAGAGAAAAAGATATAAAACTGGAACTTAGGTCGGTATTCTTATTACGTCGATAAAACAATAAACACGAGGAGCCTAAACGAAACACGTTCATAACAAGACACGAAATGAATTTAGAACGTAATAATAAATGGCTTGGGAATGAGAAACAAAATGGCCTTCGAATGGCTCGTCAATACGTGGAAACTTTAGCAACAGAATTGCAAGGCGAGAACTTTTAGCGTGGCTCCAGCGACAGGTAAATTTCACAAGACAGCCTCAAGGAATGTGTGCTTCCGAAAGATACCAAACTTTGTTATAAATAGCGTCGAGGACAAGTGGGCGATGTAGATGACCGTGTCTGCTAAATCTACATCGAATTATGTCGAAGAGGCAACTGTGCGTTGCTTAAGACACTAAGTGAGGTGATGCAATAAGAGCATAATAACTTAATAAGATTTAACCCTTGAAGTATATACTTCTAACAATTGTCCTTCGTCTGTAATAACCGGATGCGTTGTACCCGGGGTCTATTACAATATGTTAGGTAAAAGGGCACATGTGCAACTAATGCGACATTTTACTGTGACGACGTTTCGGTCTCCAGGAGCTTTGTCAATACAGGGGCACAGAGGAATATAAAATCAAGAACAACAAGACACAATACCGTGACTGGAACAATATACAAGTAACTCGCACATGGGAGACAAAACTTATGACGACGTTTCGGTCTGACTCGGACCATTTATTGTTAACTGAAGAACATAAACAGAGTAGCAATTATTGACGTGACAGTGATGCTGATAACAACTCTATTTCACGACGCAAACCACGAGGATTCCTCACAAGAATGAACCTCCAAGAAGCCAAATTTCTATCTGAGCGAGGTATTGACACTGGGGGTCTTGTGTTACCAGTACCTACACCCGGCAGGTTATTTCTGCTCCCCAGCGTCATATGGCTTCCTTATGGAGAGATGGCATTCTCCTGGCTCCATTACTCTCTCTCTACTGCTGGTGTGTACTGGCACACATGCATA